GTTCAATCATCCTTGAGTGATAATTGTTCTTCGTTCGGCCTTTTTTTTGTTTAATCACGTTTTTCATTCATTTTTGTTTGCGTGTTCGTTTTTCTTTTCTGTTTACGTTTTTTTATTCTTTTTATAAATACACGTGTTTCGTTTACACACCCGTTTTGTCGTTTACACACACCTTTTGTACCTACCCCTTTTGTCGTTTATACGCACAGACACAGACGATTTGTGTCCAAAATTCCCCGCACCAAAACTGTTGCGACACCGTTCCATTGTCCATCCAACGTGCATCGTGCACAGCACGGGTTGTTTACCGCACACGTGGACTACACCAAAATGAAGTACTTTATGCACATCGTTTGTATGTTCGCGATCCGCGTAATCCGTTTCCAACCGCACGGCACGACCAACGCCGAACAGGTGATTATGCCAAATGGTTATTTAAGACATGGAAACACACAAGGAAACTACATGCAAGCGGGAACACCGGCAGCGGCAACGGTAGCACAACAACAACACAACAGTGGCGTTATTCTAGGTACATCGAGTGTAGGTCATACAACGCATGCGCACGACGATGCGAGCACGAACGGACAGCACAGCGCCGGTACCAAAGGCGAGCCCGATTTCTGGGCACAGTTGATCGATAACCCTCAAGACTGGAGTTCGTGGACGGGTAAAACTCTATCCACAGCGAGCCAAACGCGTAACGGTAAGTACATGCATTGTGATAACCACACATACGATAAATCAAACACAACACACCAAGAAGTACCTGCAACACGTAGTATGAAACAACCACGTGCAGTACGCACACGCACACACATGCCCCCTATGTAAACACCTGAATGAGTGGAGAGAGAGCGACGGGGCGGCCGGGGACAGTAAGGCGCCGCATCAGGTAGCGGCAGATAGAAAGACGTAGAGACGTCGACAGACAGACACACACACACTGTGTGTGTGTGTTGTGTGTTGTGCGAGAGAGAGAGAGTCTTTTACCGGCGTGGCACCTGCCACTCTGCCCCGGCCGGTCTCCTGCCTCGATGCCCGTCTTCCGTCCCCGTGGCACCAATGGTGCCGAGCGTGTGGCCGTGCAAACATGGCCATAACCATTGCTCTCAAACCCTCAGTTACATCCTTTTCATTCTTCCCCCTTGAACTCATAGGTAACGAAGATACTAAGATTATAGAGGATCCAAGTCAAGGAGGATCAGTGGCACAGCCTGCACAGGACCAAGTGACAGCATCAGATGCGAAACCGGATACAACATCAACAACAACAACAAAAGCAAAGGGACTGGATGAAGATGGGGGTACGCCCCGTATACCCGGCGCAGTACCTGATAACAGTACACCAGTTGGTGCACGAGTGTCTCCACCTGTGGGAACTGGCACTCAGGTTCCAAACGAATCAGGATCCACGGGAACTCAGGGCGGGGTGGTGACGAACATAGTGGCAGAACAGCCCGATACCCGGGATCCCACGCCCAAGGAGTGGACTAATGATGATTGGACTTTTGACGACACAGCCTGGAGTTTCATTAGTACCCGTTCCTTCGCCCCCCGTACAAGCGTGGTCCATACACTGGACCCTGCGGCAGGGCAGGCTCCCGTTTCAGGCGCAGACCCTGGTACCGGTGGTACTACGGGTGGTGCCTCTGGTGGGGCAGGAAACCGAGGTCGTGATTCTACTACCCAAGGCAGTGGAGGAGGTCAATCCTCTGGCCCCGGTTCCACTGGTCACCAGAACCCTGGTTCCTCCGGTATCGGCTCTACTAACCCGGGGGCACCTGCCACTCGTGTAACCATAAAGGATGAGTGGGACACAGAATTGGATAAAATCCCTTTATGGGGAATAGGATCTGTAACAACACCCTCCGCTACCACAAACGACGCGTCGAAATCATCCGTTAAAACACCCTCCGAACCGACGACGACGCAGCACGTCGCATTAGAACTACTCGACATGTCTAAAGAGCCGCCTGCCAATTTTATCGATAAAGAAGACGAAGTGTTGCCCGAAATCGAATATCTAGAAAACGAAGAGCCAGATTTTATGGAAGAAACCGATCC